TCCACTGGCTTTCCATTCAAGGTTAAATGGTAGCCAAGTACAACAGTAACTACTGTCCCAAAAAACTTGTGGACAAGACGAACCAGACATTGAAAAGTAGATTCAAAACATCCGTGGATCACCCAAATTCAGGCTTCTTCTGATAACTCATTTTGCTTAAATTTCCTGATAGTTAAATAGGTTCATTCAATATTCCTTCAGGGATCTAAAACAAGATTTCAAGCTGCTTTTTTTTTTTTCTTGTAGTATGCCAGTCTACCTTCATCAAGAATCAGAAGCTTCCTTCGGCAGCTATTAATATGGTTACTGAAGATCTTTTCCAGACATTTTGTTGTGGTCAAGCCATGGTTCATCGGGTTTTAATCAGCTGACAACTGAGCTCAAGTTTTGTTGAATGGTGATGAGTATGGGTGCATTTACATTTCTAGTGGTTCTGCTGATTCTTGCAAATTTGGGAGCCGTAGCCGCGGCCGCTCGTGAACTTTACAAATTCTCTCAGATTGATTCATTCTGCAAAAATTTTTGCAATAACACTTTTGAGGACAAGAGAGGTATCCCTACAGGAGCAAATCCTCTGCATAACAGGTAGAGAAGCAAGAAATTAAGTTCCAAGACAGCTTCAACTTTAATTTTTTTTTCAATTTCTTGCAGATGTTGCTCATTGAAATATGAATATTAATTTATTCTAGCAACAAATTAGATGGTTTGTCAAAACGAAAATGACCAAAAAAAAAAAATTGGAAAGATGCTTATACTATTATTGTTATTATTATTATTATTATTATTATTATTATTATTATTATGTTTTAAAATGTAGTGCTGGTCCGACATGTGGTTGCATGAGTTGTCTTTGTTTTTTTTTGGGTTGTTGTAGCATGCTTATGATAAGCATGGCGTGTCTTTATTCAATTATTATATTATTTTCGTACATCAATCATAATGTCCCTACGAATGAAACTGGGTAAAGTAATTATCCGTTTGTTGCTTTCTTTGTTTTTTTTTTTTTGACCAAAGTTGGTTTCTTCGTTGAGCTAATCCCATTTTAATCTACTGCAAACCTTCCCTTCGAATTGAAATGATGACAAGGATACGATTTCAAAATATGACTTCAATTAACTATACAAACTCAAGCCATTTGCTTTTATAACTAGATAAATCTCATTCGTGTTTGAAGAAAGGTTAGAATTTATATTTGATATATTTATATATATATATATGTGCTTAATTTAAAACACTATTTAAGATTTGACTTAGTGTTTATTAATCATCATTATAATTTAAAGAATTAAGGTTCAATACACGAATTCTTGCTTTCTCTTATAACTTCATATGTATAAAAATTATTATTGTTATATTTTAATTATCCAATCAATATCTAATCCGTTAATACAGTATCTGTTTAATTTGGTAATCACTTCAACTAATTAAATATTTAATTAAAATTAAATAAATGATCACATCAACATAAATTAAATATAAAAAATAAAATCATACCACATATATCTCATTTTAAACCCTTTACTCTATCTGCTCCCTTATATTCTTCCTCTTATTCTTTTTACCTTCTCTTATATATAATATTTTACAGACTTAATATTAAAAATGCATCCCAAAATCTTACTTTCCTTAATCTTTAACCTTCTTTCTATTAAAAATTATCTTAGCTTCCAAGTCAGTTATGCATACAATCAGTCTTCCAGTAAATATCTGGTCATTAAACTTAGAAAACCATAAACAACTATGATATTTTTTAAAGTTTATAATTTTAATATATATTAACATGGATTTTAGTTCACACAATATAATTTTCATATTTAATAAAAACACAAGAATATTCAAGTAATTTCAACAATGAGAACTATATACGTTAGTTATTTTTAATAATAAATTAAAAAGTTATATCCAATAATCAGACAAAAACTAAAATATTCCTGAGCTGGTGAGACCACACCACCATAATTAGTTGCTCAATTCTCATCAAAGTAGGGTTTGTTTTTAATTTTTAAATATTTAAGGTAACTATATAATTAATTATATAAAATTACATGCGGATGCCATGCACTTTTCTTCTCATCAATGAAGCATGCCGATGATGAAAACAAAGAGCAAACAAACCTAAGCTAACTACTAAACTAGAGAATTTATATTATTTTATCTTATCTGCTAATTATTTCATCAATTCACGCGTGCTTATAGACAATAGAGAGATAAGAAGCTTTGCAAATTATTAAATAATTAACAGTATGTGAATTATAATTAATTAATATTTGTTTGCATGCAAATGCGTAAAAACAAATATGTTATGAATATTTCATTATATGCTTGTCTGGTTTTGGTTGGGGCCTTTCTGATGTTTCTTTTGACATGTCTCATTTCGTTTTGTCAGGGTATTACTTAGATGTTAATCCTTATCAACCTGACCAGTCGCATAGCTAGCTGGGACAAATATTATACTACTTATTATTGCTTATAAGTATTGTATAGTCAAGCATGTCAATTTACTTGTATTTAATGAAGACTTCGATATTTTATTTAAATAAAAATAGATATACATATCAAAATTTGGGGATAAAAATGACGATGTATATAAATTTAAAATATTAAATGGACAAGAGATGAGGACAAAGACGATAATATAGCATTTGTTTCGTATATGATATATTTAAATATATTTAATAAACGTATAAAATTAACATACATGTAGTGAATAGAATATAAAATTCAACGATTAAATTAGTAAAATATAGAAGGATATGGAACTAAATTAGTTTTACTCTTGATAAGTAGATCCATCTTTTATATATATATATATATATATTGAATTTGAATAAATTTTTAAGTAAAAATATTTTGATTAAAATAATAAAAAAAACTCTTAAACTTTATTATTTTATTTAAATAAATTTTTATACTTTTGTTGTATCCAAATAAATTCTTAATTTTTAATTTTTATCTAACTAAGCCATTAATTTTTAATTTATATACAAATAAGTATTTAACTTTTAATTTTTACTTAAATAAACCCTTAACATTAATTAATCTTTCGTTTGAAGTAAGAGTTTATATGAGTATAAATAAAAAATAAAATAAAAGCTTATGTGAGTATAATAAAAATATAATAGTTTATTTTAAAAAATGGAATAGTTCAAAAAAATTATTTTAATATTTTAACCAAAATTTTTTTAATTAAATTTAAGTGAATCTCGAGTAAGCTAATTAAATTTTGATGGGAATCAAGTTTTCTCCTCCAATTCGAGTAATTAAAAGTAATTTTGTATTTGTCTGTCAACTTATGACATCGACTCAAAAAAGTTACTAATTATTCAAAAGCAAATAATAAGGAATAAATGATTAAAATCTAATATGAATTTGAATTTAATAATTGGCTAAAATACTTGAAAAATCCTTGAACAATTTTTTTATATAAATCTTTATACTTTTATTATATTCAAACAAACCCTTATTATTTGATTTCTATCATAATAAATTCTTATTTCAAACTAAATATTAATTTATGTTAAGAACTTATTTAAATACAAATTAAAGGTTAATGGTTTATTTATATACAAATTAAATATTAAAAATTTATTTAGGTATAATAAAAATATAAGAAACTATCTAAGTAAAATGATAAAATTCAATGACTTTTATTATTTTAGTCTTATTTGTTTTATATAAAAGGGTAAATTATTTCCATTGTCCTAAAGTTTGAAGTGCTTATAGTTTTATTTTTTAAATTTTAAAAATTAAAATATTAACCCCTATACTTTGCCAGTGGTAATGAAACAATCATTGCTTTTGTCAAATCGTTGGTCTAATTAAAAAGATAAAAAAAAATTACAAAGTAGGATAATAGATAGATAATATTATAAGTTTAAAGTTAAGAGATAAAATGATTATAAAAAAATAAAAGTTTGATAAAATTTATTTTTTTGATATTAATTTTTATGTATTTTTATTATTATAATTTTTGTGATGCTAATTTTTAAATTAATTAATAATTTTTTTAAAAAAATTTATTAAGTTGTAATTAAATTTATTCATAAATTAAGTTGTTAATAAAAGCTACAAGTGAAGCTCGATCTGAATTAAGTTTTAAATATTATTTTTAAAACTTAAATTCTACTTGATTAAATTATTATTTTGTTAATAAAATATTTTATTTAATTTGTATTTTAAAATATATTTAAAAATATTAAAATATTTAATATTTTAAATATTTTAATTTTTAATAGTAAAATAGTTCTATTCGAGTTTTTAATGGGTGAGTCAAACTAAGTATTAAACAAGACTTTTAATAAGTGGTAGTTTGAAATTTGGCTCGGTTTATGAAAATCTTTAGTTGTCAAATAATTAAATTTATTATTTTTAATTAATAAGTGGTGGTTTGAAATTTATAATACTTTATTAAAAATTGTATATTAATATTTTATAACTAAAAAACTTGAAGAAATATTTTATGATAACAAAATATTATAAAATAAATGACAAATACACGATGAAATATTTTATGATGATTTATAATCTAGATGTGTGTTTTAAACAAACTATAAATAAATTTAAAGAAAAAAAAGTAATTTTATTTTTAAGATACAAAGTTATTTTTTCTATCCTAAAATTGAATAAAAAATTATTAAAAATTTAAGGGTAAAAAAGTAATTTTATTTTTATATAATTATTAAAATTACTAATATTAAGTAAAAAAATATTTTATCATATATTTTTAATAATTTTAGCATTTAATTATTCAACTAACGGATTTATTGATAAAAAGATCGTTTCATTACGATCAAGGGACCAATATATTAATTTTTAAAATTTAAAAACCTAAACCATATTCACTTCCAACTTTGAGGATGTAGAAGTAATTTATTCCATATATAATGTACATTAAAAATACACGAGTTTATAGTTAAAAAAAATATACATGAATGCACACACGCTTTTATAATACGCACCGTTCTGAAGAAAACTGTGGTACTATTACTAGTAGTAGTAATCTAATACTTTCCCGCTCAAACCAGACACAAAACCAAACGGCAAAAGGTACCAAAGAGGAGACAAAGCAGAAACGCCTGCAACCGCCGCTACAAACGCTGCTTAAGTACTCGTCACCATAACAGCACCTTAGCCAAACAATAGCGCAGCGTCTTACATTCTTTCTTCTTCCTAGAGAAAGAGGCAGATGGTAATTTCATTTTCTTTCAGCTTATTCTTATTTCTGCTTTTTTTACTCCATCTTCATAATTTCTGACGAAGTGTTTGTGAAAATGTCTGAACGAATTTGGGCTCCTATACTTTGTGGTGTTTACACAAGATGTAGAAATAAGATAATTGATATTTTGGATTTCTAGAAATAACGGACTTTTAAATTTTGTTAAAATTTTTGCTTCAAATTTTTGTACCCTTTTTCTGCGTACAGGAAGTTAATGAAGAGGCTAGATGTAAAGAGTTGGCTAAGTTGTCCTCATTTTACCACGCCGTTTACTCAGAGGTCACTTATACATTTTTTTTTCTTTTTATTTGTTCTAATGTAAAGCATTTTATGGGTTTTGTTTGATTTACCGTGATGTTATTTTATTTATACAGATAGAAGAGGTTGGATGGGAGCATTTGGTGAGGTTGGGCGGAGATCTAACTTTCCTTAGCTTCCGTGTTCTGTAAGTAACTTTTGATTATATTCACTATCTACTCAATATCAATTTCTAGAGGAATGGAAAAGCTTTTGGTTTTTTGGATTATGATCTATGTCATAATGTCTGGAATTAATCGTGTCAAATAAATAATAGATGGACTTACAAGTAGAAATGGTGTTAAAGTGTGCTATTAATTCCATGATTTCTTTGGTTTAAGTAGATAATTAGGGCTTCAGAGCACAATTGACGGGAACAGTTTAAATTCCTTGTTGGAGGGTGTTATTTAACTTATGAGAGTTAGGGAATCTAAATTGGATTTTCAGTTTAACTGAAAGAGTAAAGTCCATTTGCAGTTGCTGAATCTGGAATCAGGTGAGTGCTGAGTGATTAAGCATAGCTTTTGTGGGCAAGTGCTAGTGCAATTGCCTGTTATAAGTCATGATAGTCCTTTGAGTTTTTGAAAACAAATGGAATATTGATTTTCTTAAGATAGTGAAAAATGTTATGTAATGAACCTGTAATTACTAGCTGTTTTGTACTCCTTTATTGTTATCAATGTTATAATCATGTATTTTTTATATCTTTAATATGTGCTTGACACATCAATGGCTGTATCTATATCTTGAAGACTTGGATATATTTTCTCGAAATTGACAAATAATTGATATTGGTGTCATAAAATCGTGAATACACCATATGATCTCTATATGACTTTTCAAGATATTTCTATTGTTGGAATTTCAGTATTGATATTGTAAAACTTGATCTTTTTATCTTATATTTGATGTCCGTATCGTATTTATTACTAGTTGCTTATCCTTCTTACACATTTCGGTGCTAGAGATAAGAAGGGAAGAGCACATGTCATGGAAATTCAGTTGGATAAAGCCTATCCTAGAGTTCCACCAATGGTTTCAGTGGTTTGTCATCAATCTTTTTGGTCCTAATTCTTCCAATGGAGGCCTAGATGTCTTTTATACTTACTCTGTTCTGTCCTCAGGATGCCCCCTATATCTTCAATTTAGAATGGTCGATGAACTCAAGACTGAAAAAGTTGGTACAACAGTTTGAGGAGGTACTTGTTTCAACGTTTCTGAACCACATACAGTTCCATTTTGCTTCAAATCACTTTTTGGTGCTAAGGCCTATTTAACTATTTGGTAATAGTAGTACTTAGGAGTTTTCCCTTTGCATCCAGCATCTGGAGAAGCTTCAAGGATTCTGGTCTACTTTGGATCAGATTGACAGGTCTCTTCAGATTGTTGATTCAAAGCAGGCATCACGTGCCATGTCTTATCGCCAAATTCACATAGGTAAGCCATTATTTCATCACATCTTCTTATGTATGCTAGTTTGTTCTTGCCCCCCTCTGTTATTGTTGCACACATGGTTTAACTATTTGCTCCTCAGGAAATGATTGCTCCATCATATTGTCCATTGATATCAATGACCCTAGATCATTGCCAGAGTAAGAATTCATATGAAATTGTATTAAAAGCTGCTAGCAAGTTGCTTTTTGTTCAGTATTAGTAACGAATTTTTGAGTTGTGGTAGGTGCCGTTTTATGGGTTCGGGTACTATTGTGAACTCTTTGAAAAAGACATGGAAAAGAAATATCAGTAGATGGTATGCCCTTGACTCTCATCTTAGGTTTTAGCTTTTGCAATTGTGAAGTGAATGTGTGGTTAACAGTGGAGAAAAAATTACAGATACATTCGCATAATTTTCTGCATGCAATCTGTTAATTCCTTATCTACTAACAGAGTATAGCTCAATTAAATTCTTGAAGGCTTCCATCTAATTTCGTACTACTAGGCTGGAAGCTTATAAAATCATGTTGGATAAGGAATAGGTTTCATTCCATTGTAGTAATTTTTATTTCTTGTGTTTTAAAAGAGAGAGCTATTCCTTTCCCTTTCACTTTCTCTCTCTCTCTCTCTCAAGTGCTGTAATAGTAGAATTGTTGAACCTCTTTTGAAGAAGTTAATATTTTTTATAAAAATTGCATTTAATTGATATAGTTATTATATTTACATATTCTGATTAATTGTGTAGGATAAGGGATAAACCCTTTTCAGAAAATCTTGAGTGTCTTCTGAAGACTGAATTACCAAGGCCTGTCGATGAAGAGGAAAACAATCATCTAGTTGAATGTGGAATCTGTTATGCTCAATATCTCCCCATTGGTAATGCTTTACATGCTTTAGATGTTTCTGAACTATTGTTTGCAGACTTGACCATCAAATGTTCATGTAGGCGATGAGCTTGGACCTAATAGTGGAAATGCAACTGATTACACTTGCGAGAATAACAGTTGCAGTAAGGCTTTCCACAGCACGTGCCTAGTGGACTGGTTGCGTTCTATCACAACAACAAGGCAGTATGTCGAGCTCTTAGTGTGCTTGTATCTTTTAATCTAGTTCATGTGGGAGTGTAATTTTATTTCCTATTCGCTATGTGTTGTGATCAGTTGAACATTGATTGCTTGTGGAATTTCCTGCTTCTGTCATATGGCTACCAATACCCGTATGATCAATCATGCAAACAAGTTGGGTCACTTAATCCTTGTTCATGTCCTTGTTTTTGTCTTATTAATCTAGTACACATAGTGCCCTTGCATAGAGGTAGGATCCTCCGTTACTGACCTCATATCCACTGTTACTGACCTCATATTCTTCAGTTTCAACTAGGTACTTGGCACTACCTCTGATCAAGGGACCTACATGAAAGTTGAAGGGGCAATATAAGATGGATGTAATGTGGATATATTCTGGGATTTGGATGCATCTACTATGTTTACCAAGCTTTTAAAGGCACAAATACATAATCCAAAACATTGTCTGATAAATTCGTGGAGCTACTTTCACCAGTTAGGTTGAATGGTGTTAAGGTTTGATAAGTTGATGACATAGAGCATTTTTGCTTTTTCTTTGGTGTCGTTTTACAGATGACTCTTTCAGTTACATGATTCAGGGTATCGTGTTTTCATACATTGTAAGTTGGATTGGCTTTGGATGTACTTCATTGCTTGTGCCTACCCCTGATTTTAATTAGCTGATAAGCAGAGTCATATTATGTTATTATATGTTTTCGCCCTTCCAAATGCTCAAACAAGTCCAAATTTATCTAAACATTTTGATGTGTGAGATTATCTGCAATTAGTTTTTGCAAAAATATTATCTAAAACTGATCTTCAATGGTGTTGAAAGGCTAAACTAGCACTAGGGGTCTTTTTCATCTCATATCATACCATCATGGCGACTTGGTTGCTTGACTTATGGTTGTGAATGCTTGTGTTGCAGGTCATTCAATGTTCTGTTTGGGCATTGCCCGTACTGTTCAGAGCCAATTGCAGTCAAAATCAAGAATTAGGGATCTAATTAGTCCTAATAAAAGATCCCGAGCTGATTCATCCTGTCCAGAGAACCTTTCATTGAGGAGAAGAGGCCTATAAATTTCTTAACCGCCATAGCAGCAAAACTTCTGAAGTCATACACTGTAGACGCTGAAAGATTAAAGCTTTTGTGCACGCAGCCTCTGAAAATCCTTTCCATTTTGCTAAAAGGTCTAACCTTTGCTGAAATCAAAAGCATTAAAATAAGACTAACACAGCATCCAATGTATATTTATGCCCGCTTGTACGCTACTGTTTCATTTACTGTGACTTGTGACCAACAATTATTGGTGGCTTCCCCGTCATTATGTTTAGTCCTGACCTTATGTTAGGCCCTATTGACTTTGATAAGAAGTGTTTCATTTGATTTGTGGTCCTTCCTGGAATTTAGATTCTTTGTTGCCAATTAATTCAGTTCTTTGGCTTTGTTGCCAATTCATTCAAACGAGTGTTTTTTTTGGGCATATTAAGCAGTTTTTTTTTTTTTTTTTTTCACATTTTCTCTGCATATCGACTGCCTGACAGCTCTCGGTGGAAACTTAGGCGCCTAAGTCAAGTGCGCATATGACTAATTCACATTGGGGATTCTTTTATGGGAACTGAGACACGTTTTGGAGAACAATTTCCATCTCTGCACTTGATTTTTTTGAAAGCATGTTAAAATCTGATAGAATGGAATGGAGTTGCTGAAGATATTGCTGCTTCACAGGATGGTCCCTGCTCTCTAGTTTTAATGGCAGCCCCGAGGCAGTCGATTGGGGGGTCGTATCATGATTTATACGGGCTGGGACCCTAAACTGTAAGTCCTAGTAAATACACCTAAAAAATGAATATAGTTGGCACTGCCCAAGTTGTTTATTTACTTGAGGATGTTAGCAGCTCAAATGACTCCTTGAATGACCAAAGGGTGGGGATTTAACTCGTCTTTTTCTCTACCCATTTTTTTTCATCTTCTTGACCAACGGCACTCGATTTTTTTTTTTTCTTGCTTGATCCGTGTGTCATTAACGCAAAACTCAATCAGCAGCTATATCTTTGGCCAGCTCTTTCAAGTATGGAATCCTCTCTTTCTCGAATTAATGACAAACATAAAGGCCATAATTTCGACCTCACATAGAAATGAGCACCTTCCAAACAAATAATATGATCGAGATCGATGACTAACCTTCAGCCTGGGACTCTGAATGTGGTGCACATGCCTAACCAAGAACCTGCTTTTATGCATTTCCGGGACCAAATGAATCCAATACTGGCCAAACATTGAAGTGAAAAACATTACATCAAGGGGGGGAGGACATTGACATATCAATTCAAAGCAAATATCTCAAACACTAGTGAATTTCAAACGTTCTGTCATTTCCTTCCAATAAATATATTTTGTTGACATATCAATTCAAAGCAAATATTTCAAACACTAGTGAATTTCCAGCGTCCTGTCATTTCCTTCCAATAAATATATTTTGTTGTTTTGCATCAATATTAAGAACACATACTTGAAAATTGAGAATTGGATGGTACAATAATGAAAAAAAAATAAAAACATAAAAGAAAATTAATAAATTATCCTTTTGATGAAAGCTTTTATTGGCACAAAATAATATGCACCAAAGACAGACAATAATACATGTCTACAAATAGAAATTGACTTTGCCCATTCCTGGAATCCCACCTTTCACTTCACAATTATATGCACACAAGAATAACTTATTTCACTTTATAATCCCAATTTTTGCATGGCTCTCTTATACGAAGGGAGGCATGTACGTAAAGTATGACATGAAACGTATGGTATATTAATATTCTGGGCAGTGGAGTTGGATATGGAACTTTGGATAGGATTTCAGATGCCGGCCATGCACTCTGGCGGGGTAACCGGGTAACGGGACTTGTCGGTACAGTAATCGTAGATCATATGATTCATACGAACCCACCTGTATCTTCTGGCTTCCATGGCATTGAGGGATTGATAAGCAGTGCCCTCCCACCAGTTCCTAGGGTTTGAGGCACAGTCTGCTGGCCCTGGCACGGGACATCCTTCAATGTCAAAGTCCTTGTAGTAAGCTAAGAAAGGAGCTTTGCTCCAATCAATTTTCTCCAGGCCTCCCCTTGTTGCCCAATCATCAGCTTCCCACAGTGTGGAATACACTCCCATAGGCTGGAGCTTTGGATATGGGATATTTCTAGCTTCATTGTTCTTGTAAACTCTGATTGGCACTTCATCAACATAGAACCTGTAAAAACACCCCACTAAAATTTCACAACCCATTAATAATAACCATTTGTCAATTTAATACAACTAATACTTGGATATCATTAATTAAAATCATCCCAACTAATCATGCTTGACTTTATATGTAAAACTTTATAGCGTCTTATAAAATGTTGATATAATAAGTTGAGAGATCTTTTTTTCTTTTTTTCTGTCGCTTTCCTCCTCTCATTCCACTACTACCATATGCAAGTATCGGCTATGTTTCTGATTTCTATAGCTGTTGAACTTACACAATCTGACGATGGTTCCACATGATTGTATAAGTATGGAAATCTGCAGCGGGATCAAACCACAGGTTAACCCTTTGTTCCCTGTCACCCTTTCCATGAGCATAGATATTGGTTTGGACAGTATAAGGCTGCCCGCTTCGGTTTCCCAAGAACTCGAAATCTAGCTCATCTCTCACAGTATCTGTATCAGAATTCATCTGCAATCCGAATTAAAATGAAAACCAATCAGTACCGTTAAATAATTACTTATTTTCAGTTTTTAAAAATAGAGAAGTATTAATTGAAGATTATATAGCCTACATAAAAGGCCGTGACCGTTCCGGCAGAGTCACCAGTGATGAGCTTGATCTTCATGCTGACACGTCCGAACAAATACTGCCTTTTGGAAGCAAATCCACAGCCTGGCCAAAAAAAAAAAAAAAGAAAGAAAAAGAATTGAATAAGAAAGATTATTAAGGGTAACATATAGTATTAGTTGATCATGAATATTATCCAGTGTAAGATTTCTAAAAGAAAAAGTTTTGCATAAAATATAGTAAGTGACCCACGAAAAGTGTAACCTGAATTTTGGTCTAGAACAAGTTGGATGGCCCTCCCTCCATCGATTTGTCTAATATGAGAATCGGACCAAGTGACTCTAAAATCTTCAAGAAAAGTGGCTGGTCGCCCCGAAACAGAGAGGAAAGCTGTAAGAATATAAGAGAAAAGAAAAAGAAAAGCATTTCTTAAAGCCATGGTAATCAGGCATTAACAAGGAAAAAGAAAGATAAGAGAATTATTATTCTCAAGTTTGATTTAGAGATGAAATGGAAGTGCAGTGTATATATAGGTGGGAGACTAAAGAGAGGGGGTTGATGTAAACTACTGCAGTCAAATGGAAAGTGCCATTACCAGATTAGCTTTCCATCCAGCTAATGGCAAGCCGTCATTAGGCCCTACCCAACTGTTTCTATTTTGCCTTTAAGAACCTGATGTAATTTCTTTTGGTACAAAGGAAGAGGCAATATGAGGATACGTGATGAAGTCTAAGATTTAATATCAAAATTTAACGATTAATATCACTTCTTAAAACTAGTCGCATTAATCAACCAAATTAAGTTCAAGATTCAACTTCATCTAATTCATAACTTATGCTTCTAGTCCATAATTTTTCCTTATCATCACATCCTGTGTTTTCATTCCCAAACCCAATTACCTTATTTTCCTTATTAGCTAGCTTTCTTCCTTATGATTAATCATGATCAATAATCGTACCTATCCTGTATCATTTGCCAATATTATGATGTCACTGTATTCTTCTAACTAATGAAATCGATTTGGCATGAACCCAACATACATAAAATCTAGACAAGCACTGAAGCTATACCAAGCTGTGCATAAAAATTTTGGTCAGCTAGCCTTGGACTTAAAGCCATAGCTATTCTCATCCAATCATCCTTCTCTAATTATATATCTATGGACACCCGACAGATGGTGACTGAAATCGAACGGCCGATTGGTCGGATCCGCCCGGTTCATGCTCCACCATCAATTTTTTGGGTTCTCATCTTTCTTTTAATTGCATGGTAAGAAATTTTTTTTTTCTTTTTATCGTTTTATGGTTGCGGTTTATGAAAATCTAGTCGTAAAACGACAGGCACGCAGCGTGATAAGAGAATAATTTTAAAAAATGCGATTAAAAAAACTTTTTGGCATTGGAAGTTCATTAAAACTTTAATATTCACACGTTGCCACGCGGCATGGACGACCTCAACTGACGATGCTTTTGTAAGAGTGTTCTTGAATATGCCATAATAACCAATAAAAGAACAATGAAACCATGAGAATTAAACCTTCGGAGCATAGCGGATTTTTAATAGGAAAAGCCCTGCAATTAGTTGGAGGGTAAGTCTTGTACTTATTTATGAGAAAATTAATTTAATTTGATGGTCAGTTGCACCTGTTACATGGTTTTATGGTTAAAATATTTACTGTTTCTGCAATAAATTTGGCTTCTTAATTTGTTTCATTAAAATGAATAATTAATTTATTGTATGATGCTAGATTTAATTTGCTAAAATTTAAAATATGAAGTAGTTCTTCAAAATGATCAGGTTCCTAATTAAAGCTAGGCAGCTTTTTTTTTTTTTAATTAAAAAAAAAAAACCACGATTTGCTGCCCTACAAACACCTGCATTATATTATTACATGGTATGCCTTTTAAAATAGGGAGAGATTTAGATAAAATTTTTTAGGGGAAGTTTGAAAAAATTTTTATTAAAAATAATAAAATAAAATTTAAAATTATTGATTGAAAGTTTTTGTTATATAAATCAAATATATAAAATTTGAAAAAATTAAATAAATTTTGATATATTTTTTACTAGGTATTTTTACTAAAAATTTTGATAGAATTTTCATCAACTAATAAATAATAATCAAATTTTTATTATGGACTATACTTTTAATAATTGTTTTTATATATTATTGATATCTTCATTAAACTCTATCAATTTATAAATTTTGATTTGAATATTTTTAATAAAAAATTTCACGAATTGCAATTAATTTTTTATTTAAGTCTTACCCCTTGAAATATATAACCTAACGTTTTTAAAATTAAGAAAACTAGGTGATGGTTTGAAAATAAAGCTAATTAATATCCTTGACTATCTCTCTCTTGTACATGGTTTTTTTTTTTTTTTTTAACTTCTTCCAAGGTTTTTTTTAAAGCAATATACAAGGTTATGAATTTGTAAGTTGTAACCCTAGCTAGCTAATTGAAAGCTTCAAGAAATGCTCATGAAGTAAAATAAGAAGAAAAATGCATACAAATATAAAGACAATAAATTTGATGGCACAAAAATATTATCAAGCTCTTCCAAACGAAGCTCATAAAAAAATTTCATTGTCAAACTCAAAACTAAGGTCAATCTTCTAAAACATTAATGACAAATCAAATAATGCAAATTAGTTTTGCCAGTTCTGCTCCAATAATGCAATGAATCTAACTATCACTTGATTATGGAAATACCGGTTCAATTATTTCGAGATAAAACCTTGGTTAGACAGAAGGTTTAATATCTTTGTTTTTTGCCGGTAATTGAGCATGCATTCTGGATTTGACAAAGCAACAACAAGAAGAGGTATATTACAGGCAGGTAATGGCAATTAAGGTTCTCATCTTCCCTTTTCGTTATCACATAATTTAATTTGGACCTTTCTGATAATGATTACATGCAAAAGTTTAATGTCATAATTTGAAATTCAAGTACATGTAGCTGTTTGGAAATGCCCTTGACCTTAACTCACATAATAATAATAATAATAATAATAATAATAATAATAATAATCGATAAGTTAACCACAATCATGAGTCAATTATTTTTTAGACCATGATTTTCTGTATACATAATTTTTTTTATAATACCTTTCAAATTTTGTTTAAATTTAATTTTTTTTGAACGATTTTAAAGATATATTCTCTCATATTGATTTGATACATTTAGAATTTTACTCTTATTAAAATTCTCCCCCACAAGGATTGAAATTTGATTGACAAAAGAAGAGAGCTCTTTCCCTTACTGATTGGACTAACTTCTCGTGGATTATATATATAATTTTGGATTGTATAAAATATAGTCATTTAATTTCCTAGCACATTAACCTTATTCGTCCATCCTAAGATTTAAATCAATCCAAAAGAATTATCTTTAGTATACCTAGATAGGTTAAATTTGTTCAATTTTAACAAATTATAGCTGGTAAATAATAGAATGAATTGAGATTGGCTGCTCCCTCCCTGTTTTTACCGATTCGGTAATTTTTCTTATATAGAAATAGTTTGACAAGGTCTTAATTGTATATCGTTACTTCACTGTAGTTTACATAAGTGATGGAATTAGCATTTAAGAAGATATAGATAGAATTAGGTTGCTGGGGGTCCAGGCACCCAACAAATGCACGTAAGAGTGGAAGGCATGCATTTTGCGAATCTTAATTGATCAATTTGAAAGGTATGATGTCAACATCGGCCAGTCTACATTTTTCAATGGTAGTAATTGATCGATGCATGGTTGCATTCAAGTATCAGTTCATAAGTTTTACCGACATTTAGACTTGATAATCTATTAATAATACTTCTTAATTACTTGTTATAGTTATAAGAGAAATATCTTTTTATTTTTTATTGTTCGGTCACTCAAAAATATATATGTAACAATTTTTATAAATATTTATTTTTGTTGAATAATCAAATGATTGAATTACCATATTACAATTTATATAACAAAATTCAAATTCAAGACCATCAATTTTGAAATCAAATATATTCCAATTTCATATGAACCTAAAATAATGAGAGCCGAAGGAAGATCACTGGCATTGTCCGACAAGAAAATAATAGAAGAACCTCATAGCTTCTATTATATTATGAACGGTGGCTTGATTTGAATGCTTGCCTTATTGCATTGGCCAATATGTCTTCCCCCTATATGTTATTTTCCAATTAAAATGGAGACATGACAAAATGGTTACCCACGTGCTAATGGATAACAAAAAGATCTCCACCATTTATTTATTTATTTATTGAAAGAAAGGATAATTATGTTGTAATTGTATTGGCATTATCATGATGTACGTACAATAAATACCTTTGGATGATTAGATATATATTGTCTTAAACGATTGTTCTGTGTTTTATTTTATTTTATTTACATTTATATTAATTAATTAATTAACAAATGACTCACGGTATAAGGTTTTTCCCTGTGAGTCATCCAATGTTTAATTTCAGTTTTTTTTTTTTTCTTGTCTATCAATTCATGGCAATGTTAATCATTCTTAACCTAAATAAGTGAATTTCTCTTAATTAATTATTGTTAATTTTGCTAACTAATTCATTAGGTTTATTTAAATCATGTGGCTTATGCAAATCACACCATTTTAACCTTTTTATTTATTTATTTGGATCACTAATTAATTAGGAGTATTATCAAATACAAGATCTTTCGGTATTAATTTAGATAACATGTACGCTAATAAGATCTTTAAAATTGGAAGTTCAAGATGACTTAAGCTAATAATAACCTCTTAAGATGAATTAAAAGTATATAAAAATTGAAGCATTAAAGATGGATTAAAATTTTCAAAAAAAAAAATCATATTTTTTAATAGAAACAAAAATCTATATTTTTTATAAGTTTCTTTTTTCTTGCATAATCTATTTCCTACAAAAAATTATAGAGAGGATTTATTAATTTTTAATTATCTAATTACTGGACACTTATTTATTACTTTAGGGGTTTGGTGGGATAATGATAGGACTGATGATATGCTTTGACACCGTCACAATCAGAATGTTGTGGAATATAAAAAATGCAGCTCGATCACACATAAAAGAGTACTTAATTGAAAATTTTTTTGAAGAGAAATCAAATCAGGCATAATTTAAACAAAAAATAAAATAAAATCAGTCTTAGTTTTCAAACTAGGAATGGGTTGATTCGTTTGAGTTATTAGGACAAAGTCATGTAAAAGTACAATGCTCTTCATTCCAATGAATGAATCAGTAAGGCATACCCTTTTCTCTTCTTGGTAAAAATAATTCTACAAAATTCTTCAGAGTCATGTAATTAAACCAAGAAGTATATCAATTTACACCAAAATCTTCTTCATCAAGAAAGTGTTTGATACGAAGTGATCTATCTAAAAATTATGATAATTTGCATTCAATAATTATATCATTTTATTTAGTAATAATTTAAAAAATTTATGTAACAGTTATTTTAAATCACTGGAGTGATAAAATCTCTACCATGAGATGTAATATGATTTTTAATCTAAAGGATGGAAAAGTTTTATTACCATGAGAAAGTAATTTTTAATATTAATTTTTGATTAATTTATCTTGATTAAAAATGTACTTAACTTTTTTTAGAAAGCTGAATAGTAAAAAGTTTCAAAAAAATATTTTTTAATAACTTGTTTTAAAAAATATTTTTTATTATAATCAAATAAATACTTATTGATTATAAAAACAATAAAATTATTTAATGATTTTTTAAAAAATTATTTTTCATCAAAATCGATTTATGTTTTATAGTTTTTTATAAAAAAATTTAACTGTTTTATAAATTATCGATTCAATAAGCAATAAATTTTTTACTTTTTTTTTGTATGGTTATTTTGGATATTTTATATTCTATGATTTATTTTTTAATATAATACCAAATAAAATTATTTAAGATCAATAGTGATTTATAATATTATATCATAGTAATCTAAGATCACCAGTAATCAAATCACTTTAGTCATTTTATCACCATAGTAATTAAATCATTATGCTGATCTTGTAAATGATACTAAGCATTACCCAATCTTTTATTTAAATCTTTTCACAATACACCAAAATCTTCTTCATTTGATAAATCAAAATTTTAAATTATCTAAAAAAATAAAATCTTTTTTTATTTCCACCACACATGCTCAATTCCACCGCTACTTATCTCCTCTAAAATCAAATAAAGGTTGACAGAAATGATTATTTATCTGAATTTCTTGCATAAATAAAAGGAAAAACCAGGATTCAAGCGCTTGATGAGTTTAATAGAGAAAACGAAAGTAAAATATGTTAATTAAAATTGATTAATCTGTGATTAACCTCCGGCGGTTCATTAATTTTGGATTTGAGATTGAGCTGAGCTGATGATGCCATTGATCATAGTTTCTGCATCAAATTGGAAAAATACGCAATCAAAAGAACTTAAAAGGTTAAAATTTGGGCGTAGGCCCATACCAATTGATGGCATTTTTAGCCCATTTTCAATTGGGCTGAAATGGACCCAAACATGATCCATAGAAGAAGCCCTGCCCTTGTTTTATTTTATTAAAATTATAAAAGATAATGCATCCACTAAAAAAAAGCTACGTTGGTAAGAGAAATTATCAATAGTAAAATTTTTTAATTTTATAAGCAAGGTTAATAGTGTGATGTACACCTTTTATTATACATTTTAAAAAATATTAATTTAAAAGAAAGTGAGATATATATCTTCTGTATAGTCACACATGCACAATTCTTTTCTCTCTTCATAATATATTTTTTTGGCTAATCTAAAAGTAGAATTTTTTTTTATCAATCTGAAAGTAAATTTTTAAATGCATTAAATCATATGAAAAATTATTTCCTTAAAATCTTTCCAAAAATAAAAAAATAATAATAAATCTAAACAAAACCTGAGGACGGCCTTAAACGTATTGAAAGAAACTTCGTAATCCTATAGATTAAGGAGTTGTGTATGAAGTAATCTATAGCATAAAAAACTTCATGAGATGAACCCTGCATTTCAACGTTATTAGACTTTAAAATATTTCGAAATTAGTCTAATGAAGTATTAGTATTTTTGTGTAATTAAGGAGGTTAAAGTCTAACTTCAAGGTGAGATTTACGTAAAATTCTTTAAAATAAGTTATCAATTCACTCTTAAAATGATTAAATAAAAAACTTAATTTAAAAAAATTAAGTATTTAAGTATTATATAAGTAAGATATATAAAATTTTAAATAATTTTAATATGTTTTTATGCTTTATTTTAGTATTTTTATTAAAATTCTGATAAAATTGTATGCTTCAATAAATTTTGATCAAATTTTATGGTAAACATTATTTTTAATGATTTTTTTTTACATATTATATATATATTATTGAATTTTATCAATTTATCAATTTTAATTTTTAAATTTAATTGATTTTAAGGAGAAATATGAATTTATCCTAAAGAACCTCACCTAAAATTTTTCTCTTACTTCAATCCATTTTTCTGTTTTATAAGTACGAAAAAAAAATTATATATACCAATTTTTTTTTTGTGAATGTAAAAAGTTGAATTTCTACTCATTTATTAATTTTATTTTTTTAATAAACCCTATTAATGTTGATTAATAATGTAAAATGAAACAATATGATTACAATTTCATCAATTCATCATCAATAGAACACACCACATATAAGCCTCCTACATTCTGTGATAGACATTAATTATGGGGAAATACTTTTAATTATGGACTATTTTATTCTACCAAATAAATATAAATCCAAACACAAAATAACTAATGTTTCATAATTATCTATAAATAATTAGCACTTATAAAAGGAAAAAAAAGTAAATCCAAGAAGTTGCTTGATGGACAAAAGAAATAAAAAGATTAAAATATATCGTAGGTTCCTATATTTTTTTATTTTAAAAATTTTAATTATTTTAATATTATTTAAAAGAATTTAGTAGTATTATTTTTTTAAAGATTTTAATTCAATTATTAACAATATATATGAATTAAATTATTTAAAAATAATATTATAAAAATTAAATTTATTAAAAAATAATATTATAAGGATTAAATTTCTTTAAATAATATTATAAGATTAAATTTTTAAAAATAAAAAAAATAAAAGCCTATGACACATTTTAACCGAAATAAAAATAACCATGACATTCACATTGCTCGTTTATTCATGGGGACCAGAAAAAAACTATAGAAAAGAAATAGGAAAAAACCAATCAAAGAAGGAAGGAAAAGAAGAAAACCACATCCGATTGGGCACAAGACATGAGCCCCATCCCACGTGATTGAAAGAATCATGATTGAAGACAAGAGAGATACGAGAAGAGAGTATATATGTTCTCTCTTGTCTCAGTGAAAGAAGAGGAAAAAAAAAAAGATATGGAGTAATGAGGTGGAACTGCTCAGAAACCAACCACCCACCACAAAAAACCCCAATAAGAACAAAACTATTGTAATTTTTAATAGTAATATATCAAAGGAAAGCTAAAACCCAATTTCCCACAGGTGTTATTTCATGTCAGTTTGTGGGAACTTGGTGGCGTTTCTGGTGTTTCTTTGGCCGTTTTGGTTCCTAGTTGTCTTTCTGTTTTTTGAATTCCCTTCACTTCTCAAAGGCTTCTGGCTTTTCTGTCGTTGCCGCTATCTGCTGCGCGGTTTTGTTTGTTTCTCTTTATTCTAATAAACTCGCCTGTGTTTGAAAATCTTGGTTGGACATGTAGCTTAAGGGGGTCGGAGTGGGCTCAAGAAACGAGGTTAATAAGGTTCTGCCCTTTTCTGGGTTCTTTTCCTTTCCTTCTTTTTCTTTGATTTCTGCATAACTTATTTGTCCTTCCACGTTCCATCATTTCAACAGATAGCGAGATATCGCTTATATTATGCTGTCAATTTATTCACCGAAGCCACTTTCTTGGTCTGTAAGAAAGTGACTTCAACCTCTTTATCCCACTTTGCACAATTTGCTTTCCAAACTTCCTTCTTTTTTCTATTCAGCTCTTCTCCCTACCCTCTTTGGCTTCCTTCTGTTTTTTTTTTTCTCTTCATAAAAAAAAAATGGTTTGTAGTCACAGTTTCATATTTTGCTGGAGACCTTGCTACTTTTCCCTTCTTTTTCTCTTGGTTCTAAGCACAAGCCAAGTGAGATACAAAGCTGAAGGTAATCAATCATCTGTTTCATCACAACCAATAAGTTTTGAAAAGTTTTAATTACTTGGCACAATTTCGAAGTGAATTTTCTTGTTCCTATTTGTTTTTGCAGGTAGACCAAATCCCAAATCTGATAGCTTTTCCAAGGTGAGCTTACAGTTTGTTCTGATTATTATACAATGGATGCTGAGAATGTTTCTTTTGTCTTCTTACTTTGGATAGAAAGTAAATGAAGAAAAGGCGATATTGAAAGCTCAGATAGGTTCAAGGCCGCCAAAGTGTGAGAGAAGGTGCAGCTCATGCGGGCCCTGTGAAGCCATTCAAGTGCCTACAAATCCCCAAGTCGGAAATGGTAACAGCAATTCTTCAACATTAATCTCTGATGTTGCCTACACAAGAGGAGATGACAGCTCTAACTACAAGCCCATGAGTTGGAAATGCAAGTGTGGGAACTTCATCTTCAACCCCTGAAATATATTATATAGTTGCCAGAACAGAATTTTAGGTTCTTGAATAATACCATTTTTTGGACCATGTAAATCTGTGTAAGAGAATATTAGTATTTTTTTTTTTGCTCAAATCTTTTATTCTCTTGCTTGTGAGAATCAGATATTCGATGATGCTGCACCTTCTTACTAGTACTATTCTTCTTTTTTCTGCTCCAAGATATGTTGTAATTTCTTGATTATCAAAATGTTTAACAGTACTTATATATACTACTAGCTTGTATAATTGTATTAATCCTTAATCATAATCATAATCAGTTCAGTTAGTACATCAGATTCTCCTTGGACCGTACATTTGTGCCCGTATACGATTTTGTATATAAGCACAGAGATACGATTTCTTGGGCAAATCGTTATGACGTCTGAGTATAATCATATTTTTGTGAAGTGAAAAAGTTTCCCAAAAGCTACAAGGGGTCGGGTGTAGAAATGAGGGAAAACCAGAGAGAAAAAGGTTTTGCTTAAAATGTAGACAATGATTCGGCTTGTACAGTTTTTTTTTTGGGTCAGGATTTGGCTTGTACAGTTTCATCACCAGTCATTATAGATAATCCAAAGAGGAGAGGGTGAAACAACATGAAGATGATAAAAGAATATAAAAATTATATAATTTTAAGTTTTAACAAATATACATATATATATATAAATTTGATAAAATAAAAAAATATAATATAAATATATAAATTATCGACATTTTACATTATATTAATATACAAATTATCGGATTTGTGCCTTCATTTCCCATCTTCTCAAGAATTGTTGTTTTGCCTTCCAAAATATATAAATAAGAAATTCAGAAATTGAAGTGATCATAGTAAAAAAAGTAGATTTATAATTCTATTTAGATAAAAGGGTCAAAAATTTTTTGAATTAAAATTCATTAATCATCTAAATTTTATTTTTTTAATTAATTAAATCTTAAGATATTTATTTTCATTAACTGAACCTTTGTTAGAGAAAAAATAATTAGTTGTTTCCGTTCAACTAAGTGTTTAATTGAATGAAAATATATCTATAAAAATTCAATTAAATAAAATTAAATGTTTAAAAATTTAATGGATAGAAATTCAAGGTTTAATTGATTGTAATAAAATATTAATTACTTAAATAATTATTAAATTTTTGTTTGAGATTTTTTTTTTTAACCCGTATGCCTTCTGCTTAAAAACAGTTGACTTCTCACTAGCAGGGCGCTCTAAGCTCGAGTCTCAAACTCTATGGCAGATTCCGGTTGTTTTTGGTCATCTTCCCATTATTTCTTGGCGTGGAAGAAAATACATGATAACACTTTTAAGAGATCACCAGGATTGTCAAAAGTGGTCTTATCAACAAAGCCAAAATATGGCTCTTAATCAAATTAAGTTTTCGATATACGAATTTAATTAAGCTGAGATTGCTTCCAATTAAGTTCCCAAAGATCTTTCACTTGGGAACTACTAATCCTTCAGAAGGATAAAAGCTTTTGCTTCTCATGGCTTCAATCAATGAATTCTCAAAGATGAGAATATTAATAATCCATGCCATGCCAGCTAACTAATTATGAGCAAAAATCAAGCAAAAAAGGTCTTTCATTTGAAGGAGTAAATCCTCAAGAACATGTATTAGGAAAGATACCTGCTTTTACGTAAGAAGAAATGAAAAGATAGAAGAGAAAAGAAAGGAGACTGTATTCTTTTAAAAAAGAAATGTAAGATGAAAGTTGATGGGATATTTCATTGCCATATTTCCATCTATGGTCTATCTCTTTCTCTAGTTTGCCATATTATTGTACTACAAAACTCATGAATCTTTCAAGTAGACATGACTAAACAAGACCACCTTCCCATACGTACGAATTTATGTTGTTTAAATCAATTAAATAAATAGTTCGCTAACAAATTCCTGAACGACAGCAGCTAAGAGAAAGGCAGACACAGCTGCTAGAACCGAAAGTCGTGGGGTCATGCCTACTTAAGGTGTATACTGTATACAATCTGGTCAGTTTTCACCTCCTTACTTCTCAGTAAAAAATAAAATTTCTGATCTTTTCATGTTTAAGAATTCAGAATAGCATGTAAAAAAAAGGGCGCACACACGCACACTACAGTTGGACTTGGGACCAAGTTCATATCTAACACATTAATAATAGTAGCATTTGTCTTCCGAGAAATTGTTTGCTTCAATTACAGTATATATTTATCCAGAATGGTTGATTTTCTAATTTTGATTTTGTATTCAACCAGTTGGGTATTATTAATAGTTAATTTTGTTAGTATTTTTCTTAAATGTATTAAAAATTTTGAAAATAACCATTTTTGATTATTTTTGTAAGTTTCATAACGTGTTAACAATCTGCACAAAGTTGCAGGGTGGTCATGATGGGAAGACAAAAACTGTTAGACCAAATGGATTTGTCGCCATTCAACAGCATTTGTTTTATTCTTAACTTTATTCTTTAGCTTTTGCTATAGATTGTGTAATTATAAAGCTTTTGCTATAGATTGTGTAATTATAGACCTTTTCATGAGATAGAGTTTTTCATTATGTTTATAAATGCCCTACATATCACAAAATAATTAACGGAAGTTGCTTGAATTTGTAAGATTTTTTTTTTTTTTGTTATTTGCTCTTTGTATAAAGAAACAAGTATCAATTATTGAGTTAAAGAATACAATAAAAAGAAAGGATAATCAGACCTAATTGTTTTGTGCAATGAAGGCATTCAGTCACTGAAGCCCTTGGTCCTTTGCCTACGCTTCAGTTTCAGGCTCTGAAGTCTGAACTATACAAACAGGAAAATTTTTCATTTTCGGAAATTGCAGGATTTTAGATCCAAAGTTAGAAACAGAAACTGATATAGCAAAGCTACAGCAGCACATCTATGAATCAAGCAGCTGAGCCTAGATCTGTTGGACAACTATGATTTCTAAACTGTCATAGCTAATAATTCTTTCAGTTTTTGTTAGTAAAAACATTGATGATCCCTGGCTGACAAATAACTCTCTCAGATAATTAAAAAACTTAACAGTTCTGCCAAAAAGTTTAAATGATTTATCAAATAACTATCCAATTTTAAATAGAAATAAGTGATCCCATTCTTTTTTGAACTGAATAGGGACAAATAACATATGCCATCTGTTTCAGTCTTGGGTTATCCATAAAGCTCCGCAATTTTTATCCATTGAGAAAGAATATGAAGGTACATTTGGTGCATCAGAGACATGGGGCACCATCTCCTCCATGTTCTCAAAGCCTAAAAATAAAAAGTCCAAAGCTTAAAGAGAATGTTTGGTGCAAGACAACAGAAAAAAAAAAAGAAAAAAAGAAAAAAGAAAGAGCTGATTCCCAAAACCTCTCTTTTTCTACCAAGTTTTTTGTGCTTGTATGCCTGCAGGCATTGAAATTTCTCTATCCCCACTTAACTCATGGACAAAATAACTGAAACTTTTCAGAAACAGCAACAGGGCCACGAGTCACCCTTACGATTCCCAGATGATGTGGATAGGCTCCAGGAATCAGAATGGGATTCTCCAGTAAACAGAGAATTCTATGTTAGGACATTTTCCAGGGGCCATTTGAAATTGGGTTTTTTTTTTTCTCAACCAAATTGACCTTGGGAAAGATTGATTGAAGATAAGATTCCACAAATTGGGCTGAATATTTAACAGAAACAAGGCATACTGTACCATGCACCAATTGCTTGCTGTATTTATTCGAACAGGGAACATCCGTTTATCAGGTATAGTAACAATGATTTTTGGTCCACCCATTAATCTAAACTTGCAAAGCAAATGATATTGACGTACTCTTCACTTCTATCAATCAGCCAATAGCTATTTGAGCAGTAGTGCCCTCTTCTTATAAGAAAAAATAAAAGAGCAATATATTTAGGTAATCTCCTGAAATACGAGAGAACAAATGAAATTCTTGAGCCATATCCAATAATCATAGCATTTAAACATCTATCTTTTTAAGTTAAAACACCATAAAACGTGAGGAACATAAAGAAATAGGATAAGTCCACATATAAAGATCAGCATAAAACTAAGCCCGTCAAGATTGAAGAACGAATGGTTCCCCAATCAGCTGGAAAATATCCTCCTAGTTATACCCGCAATTTAAAATAACACCAATATTGGGAGAATGACCATTAAGATCCAATCTACTATAATTATTCATCCTAGAGACTGGTATTAAGCTACACCAGTATCAGAACATTGTAAGTAAAAGCATTGTCTCCACCTTACCTCACAAAATTTAATTCAAGACTGCCAAACATGGGTAACAAGAGGCAGTATGCATTAGTAGTGAAAGCAAATCACCTAATTGCTGAGGAAAAGAGGAAGATGCAAAACTAAGAAAACTTTTTTGATGTATTCAAAGCAGTAGACACCGTTGCAAAAAGGTTCAATGAGTGAATCCAATGGACAACAATGTTCCCTTACATATTTGGTCTCATGAGCAGCTCTGCAATGCTTGATTTGATCTAAGACTTTGAAATCATTTCATTGCTAGCAGAATTGGAGTATTATTATAAGTACTAAATACCAAAATCATCCAAATTCTTCATTCACCAGGTAAAAACAACATAAACTAGCTATTATTTCCTATACAACAGAGTAAGCTCAAAGGTTAAAAACACGTTATTCAACAACTTTGCTACTAATGCGAAAACGCCCCTTATTGTTCCTATATCAAAATAGGACATGCTTATTTTTTAAGAGAACGAGTAAGGTTTACTCTAACACCAGCCCAATATTCATGATACCAATTGCTAACCATATAAATTAACTATGAAAGCTCACAAAAAAATTTTGCTAGGATAACAGATGAAATCCAGGATTAAGTGACACAATATCCGCTCTGCTTAATCAACTCTAGCAGGCAGGCAATATTCGTTTGACATGCAATCCGTATCCAAAACAATCTCACCAATATTCAAAACATGATCAATGCTGCGCCCATTGAATCTGCTTAATATCAATCCCTTCCTTTACCATCTCATAAAGCGGACTCATTTCCCTCAATTTCTCAACCTGTTTCACAGTAAGCTCAACTGCCCTCTCAATCTCCTCCTCTGTAGTAAACCTCCCAATCCCAAACCTAATTGAAGTAAGTGCCATATCCTCACCCACACCCAATGCTCTCAACACATAAGAAGGCTCCAAACTTGCACTAGTACAAGCACTCTCACTAGACACTGCCACTTCTTTCAACCCCATCAACGAACTCTCCCCTTCCACATATGCAAAGGACAAGTTCAAATTACCAACATACCTCATATCCATACTCCCATTCACCACCACCCCATCAATCTTCTTCCTAATCCCATTCAACAACCTCTCTTGCAAACCTTTAATTCTCTTCTCATCATACTCCATTTCCTTCATCGCCAACTCAACGCAGCCCCCATCCCAACAACAAGGGGAGTAGGCACAGTCCCACTCCTTATCCCTCTCTCTTCCCCACCTCCATTCATTTGCGGCTCAACTCTCATCCGCGGCCGCCTTCTCAAATACAAAGCCCCAACTCCTTTAGGTCCATAAATCTTATGCCCACTTAAACTCATTAAACTAACATTCCATTTCTCCACATCAATCTTAATCTTCCCTAAAGCTCGAGCAGCATCACTGTGAAAAGGGACATTAAACTCTTTACAAATTTTACCAATTTCCGCAACGATTGAACAACCCCAATTTCATTATAACAGCCATAACAGAAACTAACCCAGTATCGGGACGGATTTCTTTTCTTAATCTATCCAAATCAATAAGCCTATCATACCCAACAGGCAAATAAGTTACCTCAAAACCTTCCTGTTGAAGATGCCGGCGAGAATCCAAAACGCATTTGTGCTCCGTTTGCGTCGTGATGGTGTGGCGCTTCTTGTCTTTGTAGAAATGCATGAAGCCTTTGATTGAGATGTTGTTCGATTCGGTGGCGCCGGAAGTCAAGCCGATTTCTTTCCGGGAAGCTCCAATAAGGGCGGCTACTTGTGAGCGGGCGGTTTCAACGGCGGTTTCCGATTCCCAACCGTGGAGGTGAGTGCGGGAGTGAGGATTGCCATAACGTGAGAGGTAAAACGGAAGCATCGAATCCAAAACCCTAGGGTCCACTGGTGAAGTCGCTTGCATGTCGCGTTAAAGCGAACGGCCCGCGATTTTCACGCCTTTCATGGTAATTCCTGTTGGGTCCTCATACTCTGGTGGGGAAACCACCGAGGCCGCGGTGTAGAAGCGGCGTAAATGTTTGTTGGTTTGGTTTTGGTTTGGCTTTGGCGAAGAAGCTTCGAGGCCATTTTTTTCCTTTCTTCTTGGGACCTTTTACCCCTTTTTCTTGCGGCGTCACAGTGAAGAAAAAGAAGCTTCCGTGCGGGTTAAGGGGGTTTTGATAAAACTACTGATCACCCACTTTCAATATCTCGTGTCGACACGTGGCAAGTTGTCTGCCGTCTTAATTCTTAAGCACAGAAGTGAATTCTTTTAGTTTAATGATGATGTTTCGATTAGGAGTTTATAATACTTACCACCTCCAGATGTTGAGTTATCTTCCGAAACGATAGCGATTGAATCGGCCAACTTTCATAAAACGACGTGGTTTAATTGTTATATGCAGTCACGCGCTATTAGGAGAGTGAACACAAAAAGTAAGAATGAGAATTGCAGAGATTCATTTGCTTGAGATTGATCGTATTAAGAAGCACGATATGTACGTGTTTGAAACACTGTTTTTCCATTACCAGATCCGATCCCACCACCGACACCATAGCTTTAAATCTTGAAATCAAGTCTTTTCTTTTTTTATTTAGTCCAAATTCCTGGAAATATAACCATTCTCGGAATTCCCACTTTAAGAAATAAAAAAGTTTCCTTTGTTAGTTTCTTTGTGATCATTTGGATTCTGGGTAAGTCTCTATCAAAGCTGTTTTAATTTAATTTTCAAGTGTTGTAAATGGGTTTTCTTTGAAACGCAAGTGGTTGATCTGCTTCTTGTAATGCATTTTATTTCTTTAATACTACTTTTACCTTTTTTTTTTTTTTTATAGAAAAACTGGATGAAAAACGTGATTGGGTTTCATTGTTCTTTGATATTAGTGATTCAATGAGCCAAATAGTGGAGTTTTCAAAGTTTTAATCTATTTTTTAAAGTTTTTTTGTGTCCTTTTTACCTAAAAAGACAAAAGAGTTGAATTTTATGTCTTGGTTAAAAAGTTAAATGCACTGGATTCTGGTGTCATTGATGCACTGATTTTTGTTATTGTAAGTTTTAAGGTTTGATCTCTACTTGTTCAAATGGTGTCGTTGATGTCTTCAACAATATTTTATCATCATTCTTCTTCTTCTTCTTTATGTTCTCTCTTTCCTTCGGATGAGATCAGTTATAATTTTTAGTATTGGTGTGTTCAGCTATATTCTCTTATGGAAAGCGGAAAGTTGAATTGAATATCTATGCTTTATTCATTTATGACTTGTGAAAGCTTGTGAATTTTGTGTTTTGTTCATGGTAAAAACTAGCATTAGAGGTTTAGTTCATGGGATGATCTGGATTTTCATTGAATATATTTTGTTTTAAGAATAGAAACATTGTCTGTTTGGCTTTTCGCATTCATTTGTTATTGTTTTATATTGAACTTCTTGTTGATGAAATGTTGTAGCCTTGTAAGGTTGAGTTATATAACTATATCTAATTATACATGTTTTGAAGAAATCTGATGTTTTGTGGTGTCTTTCCGGCAGGTTAGTTGAAGGAAGTTCATCATGTTCAGGCTTTCACCTTGTCGGAACCAAAGATCCAAAGGGTTCAAGGTAAAGCATGCTCTACAAATATGTCTTCTGGTTGGTGTTTGCCTCTGGCTGCTTTACCAAGTTAGGCACTCTAGTGAGAAGCAAACAGTTGATGAGAAATCTGGGAATGAAGTCATAAAGCTGGGGAGAAAGGACCTTCCTCAAGCAGAGGAAACAACTGTCGAGGATACAAGGCAGGAGAAGGAAGAAAGCAAGAATGAAGAAGAAGAAGAGAACAAGGCTGAGGAAACTGAAAATGAAGCAAGAGCGAATGGGGATGATGATGCAATGCGTGAGCATGAAAACAAAAAACGTGAACACGAAACTGAGATTAGAGAAGTTTCAATAGATGGAGAGAAGGAACATGAAGAAAGTAGGAACAATGATAGCGAAGAGAAGGAGACTAAAGTGAAGGAAAGTGGAAACATGGAGAGTGACGAGAATGTTAGCGAGGAGACACAAGAGATCAATAATGAAGAGAAAGAAAACACCGGGGAGAGTTATGAAAAGGAAAATAAACAGATTGGGGAAGAGATTTACGAAATGGGAAGCGGCAAGAAAGAGACAGAAAAGAGTGAAAGTGAGATAGAGAATTCAGGTACTTCAGATGATCGGGTCCGGGATGGAGTTGACAGGAAAAATGAAGAAGCAAGAGAAAAACATTACAAGGGGGATGATGCTTCCAGCGAAGTAGCCCATGATACCCAAAATGTAGCTGTTGGGAGTGAGACAAGTGGTTCAGAAAATTCCAATGAGTCAGAGCAGTTGGAAAACAAAGATACAAATGAATTTGACCAGAAGAACAAAACAGATAGCAGTGAAGCACATCATGATGAGTCAAATGTGCAAGAAAATGAAAAAACTGAAAACAATCTAGAGAATGATAATGAGAACAATCAGGCTGAGTCAAAAGAAGATTCCAATCCTGATTTCGTGACATCTACAGAATCGAATGAGCACCAGAATGGGACCGATCATAAAACACCCGATACAACTCAGAATGAAAGTGATGTAGTACAACAATCTGAGCAATCTGACTCAGGTGGCAATGCCGAGCAATCGGATTCAAATTCAACTCCAACTTCAACTGAGAATGGGGATGGAGCTAATGGAGGTTCTACAAGCTCTACCAGTAACTCTGAATCTGTTGAATCGAATGGACAGACTGAGAACCCCAATGCATGGACAGGATCTAACAGCAATTCTGCACATTCAGTTTCAAGCCTAACTGATAACAGAGTTCAGAGTGAAGAATCCAACAATAATTCTGCAGGGGAGGGGACACGAGATAATGTTCTGTCATTAAACACAAATGATAATTCAAATGCTGGTCAGAACGAAGAAGTTAGTTCTTCTGATTCTTCAATTGCCAAAAAGAGTGAAACATCCTCGAACACAAATGATAATGCTGGTGCAGGTCAGAATAAGAATGATAGTGGCAATACCAATAATGATGGAAATGCAAATGGGAATGACAGCAGCACTGACAATCAGAGCAACACCAATGACAATGCAAATGCAAACGAAGATGTTACTCAAAAGGACAACAATTCGAATGTAAATGTAAATACTGCTCAGAGCAACACCAACAATGAAAATGCAGATCATAATGAGAGCAATGCTGCTCAGAGCTATACCAACAACGAAAATGGAGGTCAGAATGAGAATAATGCTGCTCAGAGCTACAATGACAATAACGAGAAAGAAAGTCAGAATGAGACCAAGGATGCTGGTCAGAGCAACATCCGCAACAATGAAAACTCAAGTCAGAATGAGAACAATGCTGCTCAGACCTACAGTAATGAAAATGCGGGTCAGAATGACGACAACAATGCTGCTCAGAGCTACAATGACAAGAATGGAAATCAGAGTGAGAATGAGAACAGTAATTATCCTCAGAGCTACACGAACAACGACAGAAATGCTAATTATGATGTAAATTCAGACCAAAAGGAATCAGTCAATTCTTCAAATTCATCAGATACATCATCAAATACAGATGGAAACACTGATGCAACCCAGAATAATCTCAATGTTTCTTCTGATGCTTCTACTCCTCGAGAAGTGAAAGAAGCTCAAAAGGATTTGGGGTTTTTGCCAGCTACTATGACCGAGGGGAATAACGGTGAGAAGGCAGCTGCAGAGTGAAATTCCTGATGGTTGTTGTTCACTATATGATTATTACTGTCATTAATTTTGTTTTCTTCTTCCTGAGATGATCAGGCAACTGTAAGTTCCTGGGTATTTCTTGTGCTTTATTGTGAAATTACTGCTGCAAAATTATTCTTATACTTGTAGATTTCTACTTATAATGATTGACATTCCAAGTTGTCATAAGCCAAATATGAAGGTTTAAATTGTGTTATACCGTCTGGCAAAAACGAAAGTCATAGGTTTGATTCAACAGAATATCTTTCTGAAGGATTCCGTTTAAAAAGGAAGAGAAAATCCCATTTAAGTTTTTCCGCAAGTGTGTCTAGTTGCAGCACAAATCATCATCTTTAAATGGAACACCAGCTCTTTTTTTTTTTTCTTTTTCTTCTATCGAATCCATGAATTTGAATCTTAACTTGCAAGGACCCGTGGGGTTGGCAAAGCAGTAAACCTGACAGTGCCCCAAGACCTAAAATCTATCTGAAAACCCAACTCTCAACCTTAATCTTTGACATCCCAACATCCGCTCGGATTATCCCTTGGCTATTGCCATTTATGAATATCTCAAGCTGATATGCTAACGATCCTATATTCACTTCTCTGGTGTATAAGGGTCCCTTGGTAATCAATATTAGTTGCTTTAGTTTCAGCATTAGTTGTCTTTCGTCTTCATCTTAAATTTTAGTTAAATATTCAAAACCAAAACTTGGATAGAAAAGCAATGTCACATGCATATAATCTGTAGTGAGTTGACAATTAATAATTGATGCACTGAGTTACAATTGCAGTGTTTTCACATAACAATCACTAAATTCACGAGTGAAATTAAATCTTTAGTAACCATTATTGCACATGAAAAGACCTTCCATCAATCATTATACCGTGAAAATAATAATCACTTGCATAAGAAAGGTCTCGAGTTGTTTGTCCTAACCTTACCAATAGCCCCCTATCTCAATGGTTAGTGTTTTACTCTCAAATCATTTTCTTGTCATAGTCTTAGTAATTATCCTCCTTTTCCGGTGGATAGTCTCAACTCTAGAATCATTCTCCTTTTGTATTTCCGAAAAGCGGCCTAACTACATTGCCAACTTCACAAGGGCATTTGGCAATCATGCTGACAACATTTACCGACACCCCAGCATCCCATTTTAATCTCACCAATAATTTAGGTTAACGAAGTAAAAATTGATGAAAATCTCCAAAATACAACCCCTTTTGGCAGCCATGGTAATTTGATGCTTTAATGGAGTTGAAAAAGAAAATTTTGTTTCCAAATAGTTTATGTGAGCCTGAATACAACAATATCTAAGAAAATGAGGTGTAAAGAAAACGGCCAAACCATACATTAATCTTATTTCGAAACAGAGCATGGTATACACAACCATGTAGAATGCCTGATGAACTTGCAATGATGCAAGTCTTGAAATCCAGAAAGAAAAATAGAAGTGCTAAAATTAACATCCAAGAAAAGATTCACAATTATCTGATTGATCTGTCTGACAGATGAAGAAAATGTGCTAAACTCAGGAACGATATGTGTCCAACGGGCAGTCCATTGTCCTAGTGATGCTTCACCTCAAATAGACCATCTGGACCTGAATACCATGATAAAATGATTGAATCCACCAATATAAATCAATAAAGAAATGTTAATAATAACTTAATTTATACCGCCCATGACCAAACATACATCCACTTCGAATATTGAAAAGCATCATTAGATATTACAAATGATAAACACTAAACTTTATAACTAGATTTATTGATCACTCATCAGCATGTTTCTTTTAAATAGGCTCATCAATAACAAGAACAAAATCCATGCTAATATTTTCTGAGATTCACTTAAGGAGGGACAACCCAGCAACTAATGATATCAACAAGGCTAAAACAATCTCCAGTTATTTTCCATACGCAATTGCCTAGGCATAATAATTAAGAATAAGAACTATACTTATGAATAAGAACTATGTTGATTTTTGACAGTTCATATGCAATTAGATTGTGAAACTCCCCACCCGGCAAGTAGCAGTAATTAAACTTTCTATTTTCTTCTGATGAAAAAAAAATTTTCTATTACCTAGAAAAATGATAGAAAGACATCCATTAATACTTTATGAAATTTGAAAACACAAAATGGAACAAAACAAAAACTTAAATTCTCTGGTTTATAGGATCCTAAGGACTCAGGTTAGTTAAAGAAAGATAAACTTAGTGACAGCTAAAGCCACTGGTGCAATTGTAATACCATTAAATGAAATGAATATCAAACCAGGCCTTATGTTGAATCCCAATCTTAGCTATTTATTAAGGACTTAGGAATGGTAAGACAATTTAAATTGCTCAGTTGTATATCTAAAAACTACCAATGTAAGATAGGCGGAAAGGGAATTTCACCTAGTGTTCCATATAGGAGAAAATTTTCAACTTGTGTTATAGTTTGTAAAGTATAATCTAACATAAACTAGGAGGTATACATTCAACATACACCATTTCCACTTCTAACTTGCATAGAACTGCAAAGAGAGGAGAGAGAGAGAGAGAGGAAAAAGAAAAAACACTTAGCCATTTTTTTATGGGTAGAACTTGGAAAACTAATAATCACCAGTATCCAAATTAAGTTAAAAAAAGCCGACCATAATTGGTTGGCAGTTAGCACATTTCCACATTATATAACGTGCAAAACGTCACTATGAGCTGGCGACTTTTAAGTCTCCATATAAATCACCTAAGATAGTGTTTTGGATGCTCAAAAAAGCAATTGATTTGAACAAAAGGAATTGAATTTATTTCCCAATAACCAAAGCCAATAGAATTCCATTTGGTTCTGGTTCCATTCATGGACTTTTAACCAAATGGGGGAAAAAGAAAACAAATCCAGCTATGTTATTAATTACCATGGAAAGACCCAATAAAGCCTAAACAGAAAAATCTAAACACCAAAAACAACATTCAAATAGAACCTAAGTAAATTGAAATGCATAACGACTAGGATAACATACCCCATGGGAACTCCTTGCTGCGAATATGCAGATATGGGTACGGCTGCAAACATTCACACAACATATCGCATCCAACAATCGGTTATGAAAAAATAATGTAAACATAGCTTTACAAATAAAAACACTATTTAAAAAAATAAAATTAAACAAAAAGAATTTAAGATCACAGGAGGCTCTTCATGGTGGGGATGACCCTTTGATAGGTTATAAATCGCTAATACAGTGCAGGTAGCAATGCCTAAATATGTAATCTTCTCCCATTTCGCCGTTTCATCTGAAAAAATATATAAATTAATGTTAAAAAAATAATTAGCTCTGATTTTTTTTTTAAAGCAATATGAACTTTTAACGATAAGAATATTTTCTGAGGTTCCAAATTTCAACCTTCTCTTTTTGTAATCTAAATTCGGTTTTAGTTCTTCTATTTCTAAGATAGAATCCATCAAAATCTCAAGGGCAAACTAAACAATAAAACCCTAACATACCAAACAACGGAAAAAAATCAAACCATAAGCAATCAAACAGATGAATAAAAGAAAACTGATTGAAACTGGATACAAAAATTTAAAATTTGTAAGAAGAAACGAAAAATAAAAGGACAGAGAAAAGGTCGCATACAAGCATCGTCGTGATGGGAAGAAGAAGCGAAACCTCTCTTGGGAGGAGCAGAAGGACGAGATCCGCCGCGAAGGGCAGTTCGGAGGAGACCAGATCGTACGCTCGCCATCGCCATTTTTGTTCGATTTTCCTCTGTTGAAATGCGACGGGAAAACGCTTATTTTACTCTTCTTATTTTGTAACTCTAGCGACTAGAGGAGAAGCGTTAAGCACGTGCGAAATGCGTGGCTCTTGCCGCTACCCTTTTTTTTTTTGTTTTTTTCCCTTTTTTCTCTATTCCTTTCTTTTGGTGAATAAATTATAAAAACCATGAAAAAATACATAAATTTCTTTCCCTAAAATAAATGTGAGGATGGAGAAAAATATTAAAAAATATCATATTAGGAAATAAATGAAAGGAGGTGGCAGTCTAAAAATAAAAAAATATTTACAAATTTAATAGTACTTATAAAAAATAATTGTATAATCAATTAAATTTTGTTTCGAAATCAGTTATGATTCTTTTTAAGTTAATAAATAATTACATAATCAATTAAATTACGTTTTGAATTAAATTGTGATTCTTTTTAAGTTAATTGGGCACTTCCTTTTTATTTTATTATTTTCCTTGAAAATTTAAGTTAAGTTGTGTGAATTAAAGGGAGCAATTGGCGTGAGAACAAGATGCAAGCCTCACATTCTTAACTTCAAATTAGCATGCAATTTTTTTTTTTTTTCAAAATGCAAACAAACAAACACTGAAAATTCATTACAAAGATAATCCCTCCTTCACTACAAGCTAATTCAGCGAAAAGAGAAATTTCATCCTCAAAATCTGCAAACAGTTACTGTTTCTCACCATTTTTTTTTTTTTGTAGATTATAGATGCTCAGCATTGTTATGGATTCTCACCCAATCACAAAGCTATAGTTTGATGAATTGAAGCATACCAATAACCAAAAAAAAAAAAAGAAGATATTCCATCATCCCACATTCTGAAGTCACATAAAAAATGCTAGACATAGGAGAAACCAGTTTATTATTATTGATTTTCAATTTATTCTGTTTCTATTCTTCAAGCCAACAGACAAAGACAGAGAGGGAATGACTACATCAGTTCACAAAATTGAAGCAACTTTGGAAAGACTCCTCAGACAAACCCTCTCCCACTGACTGATTGGGGGAAAATCAATGTTCATGACTGATAACATGGTAATGAGGATCAGCAGAAGAATCACCCTCAGTGGAACCACTGAGAGAAGCATTACTTTCTCCAGCCGATATTAGAGTTGGAGCAGCAAGCTCGACTGAAAGTTCCTGCATACGCTTCCTCAGCTTCTCCTTATACTCCTCCATCAATGATTTCAATGTCAGCAGCTGCTCCCAGTTGAGTTTATCAACTAGTCTTTTCACAAAGTCTTCGCCATGCTTTTGGCTCCCCATACAAAACCGTTCGATGATTCGCTCACCTTGAATTTTTTCAGCTTCCAGTTTTTCAAGTAGATTGGCCTCTTGCTCAGCCTCAGCCTGGTGGATTGCATCAAAATTTGGCTTCCTACAGTTGGAAAGTGTATTCATAACAGTGCCAACACCGGGATGGCCAAAGTAGAAAGCCTGGTCACGAGCATAGAAAACGACAAGGGCAGTCTCAACAGCACATAAAGTACAGAGTTCACTGGCCTTCTTGAAAAGACCAGATCGACGTTTGGAGAAAGCAACCTGCCGAGCATCTGCTCCTTGAATCATCCACATTTGAGTCCTTCTGCGACCCTTGCTTGACAATCCTGCCATTGAGAAACTACTAGAAGAGCAATGAAGAAAAGTTTTAGAAGATGGACATGTGAAGTTTGGAGGACAAATACACCTTATTTATAGGACTTTGATGCCTAAGCTTGGTCACCTCTATTTCCTGCCATATATTACCTTGGCGGTCACGTAATCAAAATAAATATTTTTTTTCTGCTACTTATTGCTAAATGACAATTCTGGAACATCCTTAGTTGGCATACTTAAACCAAATCTGACTGGTAGCTTTTAGATGCAAAAGGAAGTTAAATTCCAGGATATGCCTGCCATAGCCGCAAAAATATATAATAAGCATACCAAATTTGTCTACAGGAAGAAATGTAACGGCCTTAAACGTTTCAAGACATGTAAATTCCCTCAATTACTTCATAATTTAAAGCTTTTTATCAAGATAAAAGATTCATTAATCTTCGGTGTATGGTTGTCCAATTGACTCAAATTACCCTAGGACCCAAAAGTGCAACTAGAACCATACAGTTCATATACAGTGCAACCTGGCTGGAGATTTTCCATCAAGAAAAGCAAGTAACATAATATAAACTTAAGAATTGGGAAAAATACAATTACCACATTACGATAGGTAGTAATTTATGACCTCTATTAGTTACATTAAATTATTACTAATTGTAACTTTTCTATCTGAAATGCAGACACAAGCATGACAAACGATCCTTTTCATCAGACTGATTATGCTAATGTTATGGCAGATTTCATTGTCAATCACAAAAGCATAAACCTGAATTTTGAAGGACTACAATAACGTGAAACTAATTTATCTGAGTATAATTAAATTCCTTTCCTTAGTTTACAAAAACTTTCCTCTTAGGGTCAGGAGTTATCATGAGGATAGGTGCAAATGGTGTGACTTAAGCCGGTCAAGTCTAATAGAAAACAGATTCTTATAAACAAAGCAATATTTAATGATACAAACACATGTGCACACAGAAATATTTTCTCCAACAGCAAAATAAACTATTAATGTATAATATTTAAAAGATTAGTTCATTTTTAATAGTAATGATGAGATAGATGACAGCAATAACATCAAAATTCAATGGAGCTGTGGTTGTTGTAAATAGTCAGAAACTTGCTAGTTTTCTATTCATATTAATCAAGCTTGATAATAAACCACTTAATTCAACTACAAAAAAAAAAAAAAAAGCAAGTAACTTTTTGCGTAGAGAGGTTGCAGAGGTTGCAACCAAGTTAAAAGTTCTGTTTGCATTTTCTCAGAACAAAATACATATTAAAGATTTACAACTTGTTTTTCCACTTAAAGCATATGCATAAGCAAAAAATTCCTGCCCTTGCAACAGATGCTACACTTGTGAGTTTGAGAAGTGTCTAAAGATTTTGTATCTGTTATTTATTCTACAGCCTAAGCTTAATGGATGAGTGTAACAGCCTTTGCTCATACATATGCTATTATATTCTCAAATTGAACATCTGCAACTCTAGATCTTACAATTAATAGTAAATCCTTTTGCCTTCCTCATCAAACATTTTTAAGTCATTTCTGCCACAATTTCTATCAGACAAACTTCATTAACCTTCCTAGCATGTGTCATGCACTGCAACTTAGAAAAAGACTGCAATATTTATAACAGTGCTAAGATATTTTTGAAAAAAAATTATGTCAAGGTCATTTAGTATTGAGAAAACTTAAGATTAGAAACCAAGGATCTAACTGGTTTCAAATGTTCAGACTAATCATAATGCAGTCAATAATTTCATTCTAAGGAAAAATTATTTCTTCCTCCTTGCACTTCTTAAAATTGGTTGGAAATGAGGCACAAATTGAACAGACAAAAAAAAAAACAGATATTTGGGAATAATGTGCAGTACCCTTACTAAGAATTAATAGAAGGAAGAAAAAAAATCTTCCAGAACATCTGTCAATCTCAATAACTTTGGATATTTATATCATTATATGCCTTCCCTCCCCTCCCCCAACCCCCTCTTTTCCTCTTAATTAAACATTTGAATGCTTGAAGTCAGTTACATCTACTGCTGAAATGGGATAAGAAATTTCAATATTTCTAAATACAAGCTTATAGATAAGGTTAGGTAGCACTAGACCGTGATAAAACTAAAATGCTACCATCAGTTTCACATAAGCGTGCACTTATTGTTAAGATATTTGATAGTATGATTCTAGACTAGCTTGGTAGTAAATTTTATATTTTTATGTCTTGATTTCAAGAGTAGTTTATATTTCAATCTTAGCATGATTCTTGGGATAACTTCTACATATTCATCTTTTATGGCCAAAATGTTCAACTAGCCCAATATCAACTTCTCCATTAGGTATATGCATCATTGCCAAGAAATAATATTGTAGACTAAATTCAGAGAAACATATTACAAAGAGAGATAGCAAATGCAGTCTATACAATTACGCAACTAGAATATGCTGCATATTTGAGACATTATTAACTGGATTATTTAGTTAATATCTAAGCCTATTCAGTTTAAATTTAGAACAAACTGACCAAATCCTGACCATTATCTTAGGGTCTGACATGTTACAGCTCCATGAATGGGAACTACGCTACTCTTATATGTTTGATTGTTTATTAAAGTAATAATAAGAGAACTTGTTTACCAAATATAATTTATACAATTAGGCAGTTTCCTTAACCTTTTCCTATTTTAAAGCCTCAAGTCACAGTATCTGTTCATTTGATAAGAAGATATCAAAATGAGTTTTAACATTTAATTCTCAACCTATTATGATAACAAATACAAAGAATCAAAATATATTCTCATTAACAAAAAAATCCAACTAGGTGGTCTTCATTTCACTGTCATTTAGCAGTCAGAATCAGGCAACAAGAGAATGAAACCAAATTTATGGTTTTGAAACCAAAAGTTGAATTTAACTCTACCATCTCAAATAAATGGTCAGCCATTCATATAGAGATATCAACAGTAGGGAGTTATTTCTAATTCCCCTCAGTTTATGATGAGTTTCTCTCTTGCTATATCTAATCTGACCATAATTAACTAACTGTTCTTGCATTTAAACAACAACTGCTTCCAAAATTCCTTCTCAAACTTATTGTTGAAAATTTTGGAGTACCATTATTTTCTACAATCAAATATCAGAGTAAAATCTTATCAAGACCCAAGAAAACATAAATTGAAGACAAGTGTTAAAAAAATGATGCAAAGTCATGATATGGCAGCAAAGAACTAATTGAATGTTAACAGACATAACCAGTTGAAAGATCCCAAACCTCGTTTTGTCAGTGATCTCCAACGTGCATCACAGCAAAGAGAAGCCTTGCATGAAACCCCCAAACCAAAAAAAAAAAAAAAAACCCATAAAAAGAATCATGATAGCTACAACATGCCACACCAAAACCAAGTTTTCAGACCGGTGTTAGTTTTAACTTGAAAAGGCTCGTATGTTTTTGTTGTATACCAGACAAAGATTTTGTTGGGCCGTGTTTATTTGGAAAAAAAGGAAAAATGCTTTGTAAATAATGCATGTGTAATTGCTGTCCCTACCTTTCTTTTCCTTCATAATAAAAGGACAATAAGAAAGGGAACAAAAAATGTAAAATTTACGCCATATTTTTATATTTTTCTCGCCACATTTTTTCACCCCTTTTACCTTCTCCAAACATGGCATTAGTGTTGAGTCATGGCCTACTCACAAGAGGGAGGACGGAGGATGAGGACATGTGCAATTTTAAAAGTGGGCCTAAAGTTTAACTCTTAAATGGAGCTTGAAATATATATCTATCCTTGGTTCCATACCGACCACACAAGCTAAGCTAGTAAATAAAGCCCAATAACATGTTCAAGTCATAGCTTTAACTAAGCCCATGCCAACCACACAAGCTAGTAATTCTCCTCATTTTGGACCACAAAATCAAAAGGATCAACAAAATCGACTTATTGTCATCATTCCCATGTTCCAAACTTTACAGCTATATATATATATATATATAAATTTTAAATATGATACAATTATATGATTAAAAAATATAAAAATAATATAATTTAATATTTTAATAAAAATTATATATTAATTTGATAAAAAAATATGTGTATCCTTATTCACATGCAAAAATTTTATTTACAAAATAATTTAAATCTTTGGATAATGAATATTATTTTGTGAGGGAAAGAATAAAATGTCCGACAATTCGACTACTCAGAAAAGGTCAATGCTACAAAATTGTTATTTATAACCATCATCTTTATTTGCATTGCTTTGTGTAGGATAAACGAGTAAGCTGAAGTGAGATCCCAATACTTCAAGTGTCTGCACTTGAATCAACCTTTTGACGCGGCTGTCTTGATCATCATCATTATCCTCAACGCAACAAGTGTTCCAAGTTCAAAACAAGGCTTTTCATCATCGTCATCATCCTCGTCGTTATCTATAACATCGTGGAAATCAAGCGAGTACACCACATCTTCCCTAGTCCATCTGGCATGTAATAACACAAGCGACAAAAGCCTCACGTGCCACGCCGCACCCTCTCCGTCCATCACCAATTGGGTCCCACTTTTTCTCTTTGTTCTCTTTATGATCGCAGCTGTCCATCATCATCATCTACCTCACCTCCTCCTCTCTCCACCCTCCCTCTCTCAATCTCCAAAACACTTCCTCCAAACATCCACCTAACCTCGAGTTCCCCTCCACCTCACCCTTACACGACCACTGCAGCACGCGCCACCACACCCCTCCCTCTTTCCGCGAAGTCCGTCCAAAAACTCAATCATCCGCGCTGCAGTCGCCGCCCAAGCTGGCACGTTGTTAGTAACACTATTGGTTTTCTTCCTCATGAAACCCTTAAAAACCTCACCTCTTCTCAAGAATTCAACTTCTTGAAAAAATCTAGTAATATCAAAGTTCAACATTCTAACTTCTTCCCCATCAACGTAAAAAACAGGGTTTCCCGCCATGTTTGGCGTCGAAGGGACATAACAGTTTATACATGTAGGAACAAAAGAGGCGCTTTTTGTAATAAGTTTTTGACCAAAGCCAAAGCTGCAATGGAAGAGAATTCCTGGTCAGTTAGGCCTGCAAGGATCGGAATATCAAGAGAATTAAGATGGTCGATAAGGGTTTTGGAATATGCAGCAAAAGAGAAATAAACAAGCTTTGATTCTCTTGGTGGTCCTTTGGGTGCTTTCAGTAAAGGGTTTGGAGGTTGGGTTTGCGTTGTTGTTACCGTTGCAGCCATTTTTGAAATTAAGCTTAAGAAATTGAGAGGTTTGGATATTTTCGAAGGGCGGGGTTAAAGGAGATGATCAGGGGAATTGAGAAAGAGTTTGACTGAAAATTGGCTGAGAGGAATTGTTAACGTCTCTCATGGGTGGCAACTGCAGGCGCCAAGTGATGGGTTACTCAAGGGAGAAATAAATGGAATTAAGAATGTGATGGATGAGAATAATGGGAACTCTCGTTACTCGTACAAGCAAATTTCACTCTCCAATTTGGGTTTTTATCATTAAAATTAAAAATTTAACCTTTTATTAATAAATCACGCGGTTGATTTTGTTGATAATATTATTTATTATATTTATATATAAATAATGTTAACTTTTATCTATTAAAATGACATTTAAATATATATAATTAATTCATTATTTTTAAAATTTTAATAAAAATAATACATTAAATGTAAAAAACCTTTTTAAATATTAATTTAATTATTCTTAATCAATGTTCATAAACACTAACACTATGTATATAACCATCATCACCTTGCAATTGCATATACTTTTTTGTTTTTTCTTCAATTAGGTGATGAAAAAGGTTAAAATATTAAAAAGTTCATAAATTATTTTTTTTAAATAAGCCATTAAATTTTTATAATACTCAAATAAATTATTATTTTTTAATTTGTATACAACAAAAACTAAAATAAGGTACTCAGTCTCAGTCTTTTATTTCTTACCTAGAAAACAGAAACGGTCAAAAACATTGTTTTTGTATATATATATTACGATTCAAATTTAAGGTTTCTATATATATATATATATATATATATATAAATATCACAATCACTTGAACTAGTTCTGTTAAGCCTAATAAGTTTTCGTGCAATTGAGATTATGTCTCCAAATATGAATGTGAGTATTTGATTGGCAACTTTGGCAAGGAAGTTGCAAACATAATTATTTAGATAAAAGGGACTTTAGTTTTATTAAGGGTGAGTAAATAATCAGTTCAATCAGTTTGGTTTGAAAAAATTAATAATCGATTTAATCGATTTTCATTTAATAAATAATCGAACCAACCGATCATAATCGAACCGATCAAAATCGGTTTGATTCGGTTAAATAATTGATTTTTTTATCATTTTTCTTCCTATTATTAATAATTATTTAACCATAAATTCAATTCAATAAAATTTAAATTCTAATATCATTCAAATTAAATTACTAAAAAATTTAATAATTTTAACAATATTTACAAAAATAAATAAATAAAAATATTTATCTTAGTTTTTTTTTATTTTTAATTATTAAAAAATCGGTTAATTTGGTTAGTGCAGTTATTAATTTTAAAAATCGAAAACCGATCGAATTAACTAATTTAATCGATTTAAAAAATTGATTATAACTAAAACCGAATAAATCGAACCGATTTAACTAAATTCACTCGATTTCGATTGATTTAATCAATTTAAGCCGACTTTTGCTCACTCTTAAATTTTATAATGATTGATATTTTTTTAAAGCTAAATTGAAACAAAATTTAGTATGGACTTGAAGTTAAAAGTATAGTAACACAATAAATAAAATGCAATGAAAGATTGCAGGTTGATTAAGAATTAAAGAATTCGATATGGTTAATTCATGTAATTATTTTTAAAATATAATATTTAATAAATTTAAATTTTAAAATTTATCGTTTGTATTTTATTTTTAATTATAATGTCGTTTGATAAAAAATAATAAAGATATTTTAAGCATGTGATTAATTATGGGAACCAGCTTTTCTTATGATAGCTACTTAAAGATATAAGGTTTCAATCCTTATCTTGCCTAAACGAATTTTAATTGTCTTCTAACAGATTGATTTTAATAATAAATAACCCACCATACATAAAGAGCAGAATTGGTCGCACCAGAACATGACACAGTTTTTGTTCATTTCAACACTTCTCAAAGTTATATAAATGTTGGCAATCTTAGCTAAATTTTTATAATTCTTTCCCTCTGCCTCGATTTTATGATTCAACGGCCCATGGTTCTGTACTTATAATGCTTCACAAGAGTGAAGACAATTAGACTGACAAATGGCCATGGGCTTCTGGAATTGTAGAAAGATTGCCACATGGCATAAATTTTAGTTTTAAGCTTTTGCATATGGGAGTAGTTCAGGGCGAAAAAAGACTTACAAGAAGTTTTTTATTAAAAATGATTAAATAAAAATTAAAATCAATAGATTTAAATGCTTCATTATATTAGTTATGCATATAAATTTTGAAAAAATTTTAATAAATTTTTATATATATTTTTAAATAAATAATTTTAGTAAAAATATTGATAATATTTTTATCGTTGAATAAGTATCGATCAAATTTGAATTATAAATAATATTTTTAATTTTTTTTATAAATTATTGATCTTTAGATTGAAATCTATCAATTTATTAATTTGAAATTTTTATTAAATCAATTTTAAGAAAAAAAATTTCACAAATTACTTTTAAAAAAATTTAATGTAAATTTTCTCTGTTAAGGAGGATTGATGCATACATTTGGGTCCACAAATTTAAGCTGGTGAAGAACATTGGAAACCAAGGCTTTGCCTTGTTCTAACATAGGTAGGATTAATTTAATTCTTTGTTTACTTTTGGAATCCTAATTATGCTTACATCGACCTGCCCATATTACTAAACATTCATGAACATTTTGTTTAGGGGGGCAGCTATTCCCCCTTAGGCCTGAGGATGGGTTCTAATCTTGGCGAGTTTTGAAGATTTGTTAAATTACTTCATGTATCCATTCTAATTTATCAATTATATTTTTTTTATAAAGAAGGTTGCTGTTTATTGATAGAGAAATAAATTACAGTTATTCAAATCTTAATTTTAAATTTATTAAATATTAACTTTTAAAAATAATTGTATAAACTAATTGTGTGGTTATAAATTTGTGTAAGTGGAGTCAATATTATAATATTTTGTTACTTAATATAACATTGATAAAATTAAATATATAAAATATTGCATAATGTAATAGAAATTTTAAATAAATACATATTTTCTTACAATTTATCTTGGAAAATTTATTTCAATGGTTCCATTACTGGTGCTGAATAAAACCTTTTTTTTTTCTTTTTTTTTTTGTCATACTAATCAAAGTGCAGGTGGAAATTGGGTTTTGGGTGGATGGAGTTTTTCTGTTTAATTTATTTTCCCTGAGTTTCTGTAGCAAGGCTAAATGCAAGCTTATTTGGGTAATAAAAATTTGCAATTATTAAGGAAAGAAAATTTTGCTCACCTCTTGCTCTGGCTAGTGGCAGAGCAAAGAGTTAAACTTTGGTGGATCCGAAATTTTGTTACCTAACATGGAATGATGACCCATAATTTCTTTGTGAAGCAAGATCGTATAAATCGATAAAGTGCATATGAACTTTGAAAGCTTTGGTGAGACTCATGGCTATGGCAGTCATTCCTCTGGGATAATCATAGCTTTATAACCTTATATATAGAAATAAAAAGAGTACAATCGTGTTAAAACCCTGCTCTTACAAAATTTTGGGTGAACATCTCTTCAATGTCAA